AAGTTTGGTGTATTACTAAATAACTTTATATTTAATTGATTCTTATATGAATTAATTATTTTATAGCAAATTAAATTAAATGAGCTTTTACTATGGCATTATTTATTACAATTTATATCATATATCTTATATAAAAAATTATGAAATATAATATTTAAATATATTTAGTGACCCACCGGTTCAACCACTCACCCACCGGTCGAACCAGTAACCCGTTGACCCACCCCCTTCGCCGGGTTCCTTCCCGGGTTGGGTTTAATAACTATGTGTACGACTCTTCAAACACACTGTAACTAACACTTTTCAAACAGTTGTGATAAATTTTCAAACATACTATAACTTCTCAATAACTAATTTGTAACAGGCTTCAATCACACCATAACAGTATGCTAAATTAACTGTTTCTAAGAGTTTTCAAATGCACTTTGACCAATAAATAAGTGAGTATCAACCTACAAACACACATTTAAACAGCAATAATTTAATATGGAGTTATGTTTTAATTTTGGAAACTGTAACTTATCTATTAATTATAATGACTAACAGTCTTCAATAACATTCAACTTTCGTCTAAATAATCACTAATGTAATTGTAATAGGTTCATTAGCTTGGTTGTTTGCCTTTGTTGCTATGTGTTAATTTGCTTTATTAGCCTCTTGCATCTAGTCGAGCATGCTAAGTGTTATGTGCTACGTGTTTATAAGTGATTCGCACATCTACTCGCTTTTTATAGTCATGAATGAATGTGATGGATGAATGTACGTCACCACACTAGTCCAACGCTAGTTGTGGCTCATTGCCCGTTTCCACTAGTCCAACGCTAGTAGGAATTCATAGAAAGGGCTAGTCCAATGCTAGACCCAATAGGCCGTTCCCTCTCAATAGAACGTACTTGCATGTTTCACCACATTTCACGCATTTTTCTTAGTTTTCTATCATTTGGCATGTCCCTTCAACCCTTTTCCCTTTCATTTAGGTTTTGCATCCTCATGCTAGTTATAGGGTACATTGCTTGAGAGTCCCCTTTAGTAAGGGAAACGGAGCGTGTGGCTACAAAATAGCCTTACACGCTAGTTCTTCCTTCTAATCAAAGGGAAAATTAAAAATTATGAAGATAGAAGTCATTCCCGTACCGACTTGATGCATTCCTCTAGGTTCCATGCACCTACATTTACCATATCATTTTTTTAATCTACATTTTCTCACGTACTTATATTTTTCTCACTCCAAATGCCATGTCACACACTTTCCCTATCACTTATTTATTTTCTACCTCACAAATTGCACCCAATTGCACTTATATGTATCTACTATTATATTTCATCCACTTGCACACAAACATCTTTATTTTCCCAATTTGCACACATGCACTTGTCTTACATTCGCACACATGCACGTTTTCTTAGATTTTCACACTTGCACTCATATTTGAGTCTTTATTTGCATCATTCGCGACCTCTATGAGGACTTCCTTATTGGCCACCACAACTCATATGGTTGGACCAAAAAGCCTCGTAAGAGACATTTTAGATTTAGATTGCATTTCTTTTCATATCCATTAGTCATATCCAACATGCAACGTATTTTGGGTAGAAGAATTAGGAAACGTGGAGCTAAATCGCGCAACTAGCTTTGGCTAGGTAAGGAGTGCCTTAGACTTTGCCTTTGCCTTCTCCCTAATCAAATGTGACCCCCGATCCCTTTCTTTGGTTACGTAGACCTAAGAGTTCTTAAAAGGGGTTTGTTTACTTTGCTTTTCAAAAAATTCATTTTTGGTGACTTGGTACACCTAACTCCATACCAAGTGGTGACTCAATTTTTCATGCAAAAAAACCCTTTTTGAACTCTGTTTGGCCAAATCGTCGCATTTTCAAGTCCCACGGCCTTTTTTTTATTTTCACACACGTTCACATACACACTACTTTCACACATACTATCAAAAAGTGGGGCGCGACAGTAATAAGTTACAACACTTCGTAACTAACATTCTTGAATTACGGACTTTGCATTAATTATGAAATAGCATCTTCCCCATTAACTATTTCGTAACAGCTTTCGAACACAGTATAACTTTCGGTAACTATTGTACAATAATGTAAAATAAATTCCGAGACTAACGATCCGAATATGGAGTTTTGTATTCAATAGAGCAAACTGTAACTTTCAGGTAACTATTTTGTGACAAACTTCAAGCACACTGTAAACATTCTTCAAACATACTAATTTTTAATCTATAAGTTACATTTTTTGGTAACAATTTTTAAACACACTGTAACTTTTCAATAACTATTTTGTAACATTTTTCCACCGCAATGTAACTAACATTTTTCGAAACACACTAACTTCTTAACATGAATAAAGTCATACTTTCATAATATGCCTAATTACGTTTGTTACATCAACTTCATATGTGTTTCATCGGACAGGGTATGACAGTATGCCTAACAAGTTTTCGATGATGACAAGCGAGTTCAGACCCGTGTAGTAGCATCATGATGGTATAAACACAGTTACCGTATATGATAATAGATGTTACAGTCATACTACTTGAATTAGAACCTTATGAATAATAACAGTATACCAACCTTTCCGCTTTCGACCATATGATCTTCGTGGTATTTCTTGCTCAAGCAGATGTGACGTCGATGCACTGGTGCAAAGGTGGTTGCACCGTACATTGACCCTCTTCGGCAGGTTCTATGACGTTTGACCTGTATTGCTCCTGCTCTTGCTCTTGAAGCTGTATAATGCTTCCTTGCGCAGTTGTTGTCATGGTGGTCCCTTGTTCCAATCCGCGACTGATGTTATCGGGTACGACTGATGAGGTAGGAATTGGATTCTCCACGTCCATTACATCTTCATTCAGCTCTGGGTCTGGATACCTTCAATATTTGTCCTCGTATTGGCATCGTCTTTCTCGGCCTGCGCTGCATTATGCTCGTCTTCATCAGACCCTTCCGCATCAATTTCTTCAGCATCATCATCCTCGTCGTTGGCCCCTTCTTCGGCAGATTGAAATTCCAGCTCTTCTTCGGTATCAGGACTCTTGTGCATTGTATAGTCCTCCTGTACAGGTTTTTTTCCTTTGTCCAATGCTTCAGGCCCAGAAGTGGAAGCTTTTGCTCTCGGCTGAGAGGAGAGGATTTCTGCAATCTTCAATATCCTTCGTTGGCTACTAACAGCAATGTTATACAGCTCATTTAGCTCAGCCTGCAGTTAGATGATGAAATTATCAATCCATAAATGAGCCACATGCTCTCAACAATGGAATACAATACAGGCATATACAATAGTACATTTACGCAAAGGTTCTTAATTTAACATTTGAATTGCGGCCATAGGTTCTATAACTGTAACTTATATACTAAAAAATAAAATGGTCACCCGGGATCATTGAAACTTCATACATTTATAACATGATTGGCCAAGAGATCACTATATTTCTGTATTTCCATTCATGTGACTTAATTTTTAATAACTCTCTAGACAGGGATGTAATATTGGGATTGGTATCACATATTAACATGATACTACAACATGAATGAAGTTGATAGGCCTATCAATAACCAATAATGTTGCTTACAATATGCAGTAATTACGTCTAATCAAACAACAAATTTCATTAAATCATGGAACAGACCCACTTACACCGATATCGGCGTGCCCGCTGTTCATCAGCATCCCTACCAAATCAGGGGGTAGTTCAGTACTCTGCCCATCATATTCATTATCTTCCGGATCATATTGTCCAATCTTTAACAACAAATTAAACCAACCATTTCAATAGCAAAGCCACGCAATACATAGACCACTACCTTTTATATGAAATGAGGTCAACAATATATAACATTTTACCAGTTTTCCTTTTCCATAAGCTCCAAGATTTTTAATCTCAAGTGCATCCCTTTCAGAGATCAGAGCATCTGTCCATGCCTTAGCTCGCGGAGTAGTCCTCGACACTTTATGCTTCAGTATTTGTACCCGATCAAGATAATGAATCTGCAATACAATACAGCAATTAATTCAACTGTAGATAAACTTGACCACACTGTTAAAACATCATCGTAGACGCATTCATTTGAGCATAATCTAATCAATCCATCGCACTGAATTCGATAAAATGTGGAAATACAGACAGTAGTTATGAAGGCACGCAAAACTAATTGACTCTCTGGTGCACTGTGTAACAATTAGAGCATATTTTCGTCATGACTACAACTGTCTAATCTTACCAGCAGAACGAAGATACAACCGCCAACGTATTGGTGCTGCTTTTCACTTTTCTTTTGCACCTCTAGCACCTTATTGCATAGTACGATCCTCACATACTCAGCCCAGTTCAATCTGGCTACCCTATCAACCAATTGCGTACAGTTCCAAAGCTTTATTTTGTGCTCGGCTCTAGTGGTTGGAGCCAGTAGACATCCACAAGAAAATGCCACGAATAGTCTTAAGAATTCTTCCCCTGCATTCATGGCTACCAACTCATTTGGGAGCTCATTCCATTTGTATGTCCTACGACTTGGTCCAGTTCCCCCAACCTCGGTTGTATCGGTGTCTTCAACTGGAACGGGACCTTCGTTCGGGATCCCCAGGATTAAACTGATATCCTTTGACGTTAAAGGTAGCACACCATCTCCATGTACATTTAAACTGCTCAATGTCGGATTAAAGTTGTCAACAAGCCAGGTAGCTATGCCACTAGGAATCCAGTGACACTGTATGTCTAGCAGCCCTCCAAATCCTATGTCTCTAATCTGCTGCTTCTTAGTTTCATCGATTCGTGAAACTAAGCTTGACATCTGCTTTGGCGAGCATCGGATAGTGTACTTCTGATTCTACACCATTTTTTAGATATATGCATTAGACTAATATAAGTTTCATTAAGTTTGATGAATCATGCCGTGTATTTACCTTGATTTGAACCCGTGCTTTTCGCAATATCGGCTTTCCTAGACGTTCCATTTCTTTCTCATACTCTTCTTTCTCTTTCAAATACTCCTCCTTTCGCTTCCTCATTTCTTCCTCACTCAACTTATTATATGCTGCCCGGGCAATGTCATTGTACTGCATTGAATAAATAAAGTCAAAAAACACGTTAGACTAAACACAAAATAATTGCTCGTTTCACTATTTTTCCCTTAGGCACCCCATCAGTTCAATGATTCTTCAGTTTATTTTGCTAGGACAGCATACCTCGGTCAGCTTAACACCCTTCGCCGAAACCGTGTGTTGATACTCTTTCCTGTCCACATTCAAAACTCCAAAGTTATATGTGCTATTTAGTACCATTATTTTTTCCTCAAATTCAATAATCTTACCTGAACTTCATCCATGGATTCAATGGTGGGACTGGTTCTGCGACCTCGCTTGTTCCCGCTGTAACCAGTTCTTCCTCCCCACCTAAACGATCATTCCTTTTACTGCTTCTTTTTCCTTCCCATCCTGCCCCTGAACAGTCAACATTGTAATGCATTATAATGATGCCAAATCTAACCTGCCAAGACCTTACGCAAGCACTGGCCACTTACCTATTCGATGAAGTGGTGCTGCACCGTGTTCTGTACCACCACTTGTTTCGGCGAGTTCTTCTCTGTCTGCTTCCTGAAGTGTGCTTCCTGCTCGCGTTCTTGCCATGTAAACTAATGTTTTTAACAAACATATTGCACTTCAGTTCCAAAATTTTATTTCCAGCCACAGTCATAACATATCATGAAGTACTGCTAAACATAATATATGAGCATCAAATATTAGTCACGCTAGTTATAGTACAACCTGTAACATTTTTTCTCACACTCAGTAACTCATTCTTCACAGTTTGTTATTTATTCCAACTGCCACTAATCTACATAATCTGTTGTTCTACCTATCAGATTGTACTTCATCCATCAATTTCTTCTTCTATTTATTATGCTACTGTACAATACCAATGCAGTAGAATAGGGGCCATCCAAATTTATAGTATCTTCATGAAATTCTATAGACCAGTTCTATTATTGTAACTTCTGATCTATTACGTGTAACAACTATCAAAGATGATGTCCAACCACAACAATTATTGTACAAGTAATCTTCCTTTTCACAATTTGTTTTGTCTCAATACCAAATTTTCTGGTTAATTATCCCTCATTTAGTCATTTCGTAATCTATTCGCCCTGCCTATCAAGTTCAATTCAATTACCTTCTGCCTTTATTTATCACCTCTTCAACAATATGAATGAAGCAACAAACCCGTTAAACAATTTTACGTGTATGTTCATCCAATTTTTACAGCAGTGCACTTCTGCTAGTGTCACTACTAAATGACTGCGTGTAATGACTATCCAACATGATGTGCACCTACAATAACTAGTAAGATTCTTAACCGTTATTCCACTGACTATGCTAAACCTCATGATTTGTTATTCCATCTGCCTCACATTGCGCCAACTTATAACCTACTCTCGTACTCATTCACTTCCAACCTAGAAACTTGTCTCTCTTTATGCAACTAAACAAATAACCTGTAACATCAATGTAGAAGAAAATATGAGAAGCACAACTGAGTACAAAAATTAAAACTCTGTTATTTCTCTGTACGCTGTTAAACCACAACATGTAACAATTATCCAACACTGTGTTCATGTGCACGCCCTAATACAATAAACTTACACCAATCAAGACCCAAATACAATATCTCAATTTCAAAATAACATTTCCATTAGCAAGTATAAGACGCACAACTCAGTACAAAACATTTGAACTCTGTTATTTCTATGTACCTATTCAACCACAACATGTAACAATTATCCAACACTGTGTTCATGCACATGAACTAATACAATAAACTTACACCAATTCAAGACCCAAAAACACACCATCCCAATTTCATGATAACATTTTTATTCTGTTTATGTCATGTTCCCGTTGATCCACAACTTGCATTACTTCTCCAGTGTTGTGTTTATGCAATAACAACGAATGTAGCAGTGTATGCTACACTCAACGTTCTGTACTACCTACTTACCGCATACTAATTATAATCTGCACCCATTTTTTCAATACTAACTCCCGAACCCATGCACACATTTTCTCAAGCAGTTGTGCCGCACGATTTCCCCTTTCTTTCCCACTCTCACTCTGTCATGCTAAAAAACTAACACATAATACTCCTATCATGCTGCACTTACTCATTACTATACACAAAATTGTGCTCACGTGATATCTCTCTAAGCGATCATCATACTGTACGCCAACAATATCCACAAGTAAGGTCCTTCAAACAAACATGTCAAATCACACACGTTACTACATCATCGTAGGATCAAAAAATTTGAATACCTGACTGATTTTCGTCGTTCACTACTCCCATGCCTACGATCTTCCACTCATCAACCTTGGGTTCACCTTTCTTCTTCTTATAATAAATCCGAATCACCAGAAATTTGTCCACACACTCCACCACTTCTTGCTTCTCCTTGCTATTTTTTCAGTATCCAATGTTGCACTTCCACAGCTTTTCGCAATGTCACGCCGGAGAGTGTTGCCAATCTCGTATTTTCCCCTCTTATTTCTCTCTTCGTGGCTTTTCGCAAGCAACTGCTTCGTCTGGTTTGGGTGGGAGTCCAAGTGCGCATTTTCATTTTCAACCTTTCGCTTTGGGCGGGACTTTGCTTACTAGTGGTCATAACGTTCCGTTTCTTGCCGTTACGGTCAGCAGAGCATAACCATTTTTTTTACTGTCTCACTTAATAAAACGACATTTGCGTTGGGCCAAACTGAAGCCTTTTGACGTGGTTTATTTCTAGCCTTACCTTTTTTTTCTGTGAGACAACAGCTCGGGAACGGTCAATCTGATGACCGTTCCGCCCCTAATCCACCCTAGAAGGAGGTGGGACCATCACAGTACATTGCCTCATTTTATATTTTAACATGTTTGCCCTTAAACTTAATTTTTTCTGTCACCCAATTAGTGAAAATTTGAGAAAACATGTTTTTCGAGATAATATTTGGTCTGAGAGTGCAGTGGTCTTGGAGAGTTAAGGATGATCAATTGTAGACTAAGAAAAGTTAATTGAGAGATTGGAGGTGAGTGACTTGAGTTAAGCTCAATTAGGAGCATTAATGAACCACTATTCAAGTGTTGACTTTTGCACCATAAAAAGTGGCTTTATGTCACTTCTTTCTTTGACCATTTCACATCACAAAAACACACAAAATCACTATCTCTTCCTCTCCTCTTGGCCGAACCCCCTCCCTCCTTTAGCCAAGAAAACTTTATCTTCTTCTTCTTAATCTTGCTCACTAATCTTGCTCCCAACCTTGCTCACACCTTGGATCATCTTCAAGTTTGGTAGAAGACTTGGTGGAGGGATGATTTTTAGAGGTTTAGTGCTTGATTTCTTGAGATTTTGCTTGCTATCCTTGGAGGAAGGTAACCTCTCCAAGCTCCAATCTTTCTTTCATCTTTTAGCTCAATTTTAGCTAGATAAACTTGGGGTTGTTGAAGGGTTCTATGAACCTTGACATTAGGTAGCATGCCTTGAGAATATTCTTGCTTTCTTGACTTGCTCTTAGGAAGATGCCTTGAAGGGGATTATTAGGTAGTGGACTTGAGGATTTCTTGTATGCTGGTTGTTGTTATGGTAAATTCTAGCTTAGTTTTGGTGTGAGAGTTTTGGAGGAGAATTTGGAAAGAAAGAAGCAAGGCTGCTGTCCGAATTTTACTGGAGTTTTTCCCCTATTTTAATTCCGAAATTTGTGGTTAAATTGATACAAAAATGCTTGCTACATGTTGGGTTATGTGTGTGTAAATTATCTTCCAAAAATCACTTCATTTGAATGAGTTAAAGTTAAGCTTATAGGAGAAGAACAAATCTGGAAATTTTAGAGCAGGGCAGCCAACCAGTATTCACTAAATAGAATGTAATTTTTCGTACAAGAGTTGAAATCAAGTGCCACTTGTGGCATGTAATGGTATAAAATACACATGCTAGTTCATTTTCTATGAGTCGCAGTGAACCAGCAAAGTTGGCTGTTTTCTCTTACTGTTTTAACTGCGACACAAGAATAACTGCAGTTTGTGACTCAATTTCACTCCCCTTACGAAATGAATTTGAAGACAGTTTCTTCTAGTGATTTTTAGAATTTTGAATCTAGTTTTCAGCACCATAAACCACGCTAATTTTGGACTTGTGTAGCCTTAGTTATGACCTGAATTAGAAACTGCATTGGGTGAGTTCCAAAGCCGGAATTTTTGTGTTTCAAGTTTCAAAAACCAGCTTTCAAAAAAACTATTGTATCTTGGTGTAGAAAAATCTAAATTGAGTTTCGTTTATTGCATTTGAAACTAGACTTGAAGTTCTTTCAGTGGTATAAATTTTAGCGGTTAGTTCGATTCCTATGAATTTTGATAAATTTTCAAAGTTCACTGAAATTCAAGACTATTTTGCCCTGTTTTTGCTGACACGGCAATTTGGAACTAAAATTTGATTGGTTTCTAATTTGAATCTGGTGGAAGTATCTTCAGTTTTAGTTTATTGAGTCTATTTTCCAACAGTATAAGATTTACGATTTTTAGACTTATGGAACTCAAGTTATGATTTTTCAACGAACATTACAAGAATCGAAATTTTCTTTATAAAGTGGCAAAAGCTCAAAAGTGGTTTGGAAACATATTCGGTGTTCAAGCCTAACCTTTTTTATTATTTGCACCCCATTTCATACTTAGGAAATGGATTTCATCGAGCACATGAGATTTTTCTTGACTTGGATCGGAAAGCTTGATTGTTTGGAAGTTGACCAAGCTTCAAGCGAAACTAGTATGTTTCCTTTGGTTTCGAAATAAGATTTTTCACCTCCTAGTCTTATGCCCTCGGTTTCGGTAAAAATGAACTATAAATTGAGCGTTTTAGCTAGAGTAATTTTTGAGGAATTTCACTAGTTTCATATTTGAAATTTGGAGGTTTTAGCTCCAATGTTTACTATGAAATAAGTGACGCTTTTGATGGATTTTGACTTCGTAAGTTTAGAAAACGTGAACGCTCACTTATGTTTTAAAACTTGGGCATAAAATTAAAAGTTTTAAAATATGAAAATATTTTTCCCTTCCTCGATTTTCATGCCAAAAAATTAAGTGTGGTACTCCTCTTTTAAAATCGAAATTTCGTGCCACGACTTGATTCGAAATTGGACTTTTGAGTCCTCCTTAAATATTATTTTAGTGATTAAGTAAGAATGTTTCTCTTTTAATATGACTTGAGTTTGAGGCTCTTGAGTGTGGATAGCAAGGGGATTTTTTTTATTTCTTATTAGACTTGGTCGAATACCTAGGTAATCTTGATTGTGCATGTCTCAGGTGATCACGTGGACACCAAGGAGCTCGTTGACCTCTTGTTT